GCATGTTTAAGTCTTGTCTGCAGCTGCTTAAGGTCTTACCAGGGAGAAATTTGCTTTGGATGTACTTGTACATCAGAACAGGTTTCAGCCATAGTAAGTTGCATGAGGTGCAGAGCAGAAATGCTGAGGAGCAACATATGGTTTCCCTAAGAAAAGCTTTTCTTGTTCACTCTCCTGTCAAGCTGCTCCTTTATATTGTAGTTGCTGGAGATGCCCACATGTGAAATAGGCAGTCGTATTTGCTCCTCTGCTATGCAGGTCTGTCAAGCCAGCAGGTCCGCAACAAGAGGTTTCATGTTAACATGTGACAATTATGGAATGTATCCAGATTGCTTATTCAATGGAGCAGATGGTCTCCAGGCTTTTGTTCCTTGCAGGTACTCCTTGTAGCCATAATGCTGCTTCTTGCAGCCCTAACATTTTATCTACTACAGGTAATTTCTTTTGAGCAGCTGCCTGAATGGATAGTGGCCAATTCATGAGTCACGGCAATTTATCAAAGAGATTCCAATATTGGCAAAATCACTATGATGGTAAAACACTGGAGACTGGAACTGCACAGAGCAGTTTAGAATAACAGCAACCTGCTGAATATGGCATTATTGAAACCATTGAAGCCATTGAACCCAAATTACGTTTAAAAGACATTTGTTATGGAGCTTGACAGATTCCAACTACATAACAGCTCCTGACATATCTTGAGGATAACTGCCACTGAACTAATTATTCCATGTTGATAATGTTTGCATGTGCCCAAAGGACTTGCTGAATCTCAGAACTAAGTGCTCCAAAGCTCCCACTGCCATGGGCATGCTCCATGCAAGGAGGAAGTAAACATTCTCCTTTGTTTTTCTTGTCAAGATGTTACAGTAATCAGCATAAAAGCTAGAAGCAGGGAACCATTTTCCCCTTGGAGTCTTAATACTGATGAACAGACAGCAAACAAAGTAAAAACAAAAAATTGCCTGGCTTAAATGCAGACTGAGGTAGGCTTTGCATGGTTGAGCTGGTAGCACTGGAGCTAAGAGGTCAGAAAAAGACTGAGCTTTGCCAGGATGAAAACAAGCTGGAGGCTTGCACACAGTAAAAGACAAGTCAGAGACCAGGAAGATCAGAAAAAGATTTAAAAAGAGAAGGTGGTAGTTGCAACCTTGCAAATTAAACAAGAAGCCTCAGGATGTGAAGAAGTGAGTTCATGAAGGCAAGGTCTAGGAAGGCAGTAAGACAAGGACTGAGACAGAGAGAGGTAAGTGTGGCCATTACAGCCAAGTTTAAAGGAAGACTTAGCTTAAAGGATCAGATATTTAAAATAAAGGCTGAATTGTAGATAACAACCTAGGTCTGCCACCAAGAAAATCATTCTTGATTGGAAAGCAGAGCACACACCTTTCTAGCACTCATGTTAATGACTCATTAATTCATCGATAGGAAAAAAGATTGCTTCCAACACTAGATGTTGGGGCAGGGGTTCCTTATCAGGCTCTGGAGCAGATGTGAGTCATTTTTACACAGGCATTGCTGCCTCAAGCCCAAGACAGGCATCTCCTGGACAGGACATCCTTCAGGGCCATGGTTTCATCACACCATTAGAAACCAGCTCTTCTGAGTATCCCTAGTTTTACCTGTTGGAAGTGAGCAAGAGGAAGCAAATGTTCTTGGGAGACACACTGTGTGCCTTTCCTCAACTCCCACACTAAGTTACTCTTGAGTTTCCTGAGGACCTGTATTTCTCCATGCAAACCTGCAAAAGTTCATTACATCCCATTCTCCAATTAATTAATGAAGATGGTAATGACAGCCTCAGTATCAATTGCTTAAGAATGCAGTAGTTGCTAGCTGGACTTTTTAACACTGACCACAGACAGTATTGCTCCAAGCCCAGCTGGTCAGCTAATTTTCCACATACTGCATGGGTCACTTATCCAAACTCTCTCTCCTCAATTTGGCTACAAGAATACTATGAGAAACCATGTCAAAAGTCTTGTTAAACAACATTTTGTACAGTCCACTTGTCCACATAAGGCCATCAGGTTGGGCAGGTATGATTTACCCTTTGTAAATCCAATCTGACCATTTCAATTTTTTCTTTGCTGCACTTTGGTAGTCATGACTTCAAGGATTGTTCTATAATCTTCCCAAAGAAAGAGGTCAGGCTGGCTGACCAGTCTCCTGTAGCAATGTGGATCATCTTCTTGTCTTTGAAAATGGATAGCAAATTACATATGTGTTTTTTTCACACTTATCCAGAACCTCATCCGTGAGTCTCTTGGGGCACAAAGACAAGAATGATAGAAGTGGTAGCTCTTTCTACTGACACAGAAGTTTTCCTAGAAGGAAATGGGAAGGAGAAGACAGACACCAACAGGAGAGGATGTTGCACACCACATCCTACAATTCTGTAGCTGCCAGGGCTCAGCAGGAACCAGCAGCTCCTAAAGGCAGGGGCCAGAAGCCAAGGGAGATACCACAACTAGCAAGGCAGGGTCCTCACCAGCCAAGGCCCCAAACCTGGACCCATGAGCAGGAGGTGTGGGTGAAGGACATATAGGACCATTAAGATCTATTAGTGCTCTCAGAGCCATGACAGGATCCGTGGTTTGTACAAAGTAACCCCACCAGAGATGTTCATACTACAAGTGTTTAAGTACAGGCAACAACCCGACAATGGGCACACACCACATCTGTGATGGGCACCTTCAGTGCTAGGGAATGACCTCATGCTCACATCTGTCAGTTCAAGCAACACAGCCCTAGTTTCCACAGAGCATCTTGCCTATCCAAGGCCAAGGGCTTGCTGTAGTATCATGGCTTCAGTCAGCACCATAAGGAGCAGGAGGAATGGCAACTGATTAAGAGCATCTGGCAGTCTTCAGTGCCAGATGCATGTAGCAATTATGCAGTAAGTGTAGCACAGGCTACAGGCCAGATCTAAGTGCAAAGTAAAGGCTTTCAAGACAGATACTGAACTGTACAATAACCAACCAACATAAGAACCAAGCAGAAAGTACATGGCCACTCTATCCCAAAGATCCTAGCCATACCAAAACAATAGGCATAAGTCACCGTGTAAACATCACAGAGCCAAGATTCACTCCTTGGTATATGAGAGGAAGATGTAGCTGTACCCACTGGGACTCAATACTGACATTCTCACTTACTGGAAGCACAAGGTCAGAAGCAAACTTCTCCAAATATTTAGAATATAAACATCATGGGTCACTGGATTCAATAATTTCCTATTGAAAAGAATTCACTCAAGCATTTAAGTCAGCTTTATGTATCATTGTGCAGAACAAAACCCAGGCTAAATTCTTGACAGGAACCGTGTGTTGTTTTTACGGGGTACACTTAAGGCTGCAATGAATCTTCCCCAGTGCAGGCAGTATAATACAGGTAACTAAACTCCCATGAAACTAAACTCCCAAAAAAACTAAACTCCCAAAATAAAATCTTCTCAGAGTTGCAAACATTATTACAAAATCCTTCAGAGGCATCAATCCCCACAGACTAATAGTTTGGCATCCAGCCAGAAAAACAAACAAACAAAAGTCTAAGTTACTAAGACAGTTGTGCCAGACAGAATTAAAATCTTCCCAAATAGTTTCCCAGTTTGAGAGAATAAACGTACATTTGATGGAAGGTGAGGACTTCTGTCTCCCCAAAAAGCCTATTTTTAATTGAGCATACAGAGAGAGTTAGGATATTGGGATATTATGCTCCACTGGATAATTAGAGATGCCTGCACACATACCCAGTCACCAGTGGAGTAATACTGAAGGCTTGCCAGCCAATTCCCAATTCCAAGTCAGAGCAGGAATGAAAAAAAACATGCTGAAGAAGACAGAACACATTTCTGATGCTTCTTAACGTGCTGTTAAGATTTCATTAGAAAAAGCTTGGGCTTAAGTCCAGTTCTCGCAGCTACTTCCCTTTAACATGGAAGATCCAGCATTTATTTCAAACCTGCTTTTGATCTAAAGGACTACTTTCAATGCCTATTTAACTGCAATAAACATAGCTTGATACTTTTAAAGTAAGAAAAAAAAGACAAGGTATAGTCCTCCAAAGTTTATTTCAAGTATAAAAGTCATTCAATGAAATATCTACAGGGTTTTTTTTGAGCATAAAGGTTTAACAAGATAGAATCAAGTACCAAATTTCTGAAAAAATACTATTTGATTTAAAATTTTGAATAGTAATGAAAAGGCACTTAAACAAAAGATACCCAGTGACAAATATAACTCTTCTGTCACAGTGAATGTGAAATCAAACATTATCTAACACTTTATAATAAACTAATTACAGTCTGTTTAAATTGAGCAACATGGTCCAGACAAGAGCGAATTCAAACTCCCTGCACTTCAACAATAGCACTTTTCTTTCAAGTGTAAAGAAAGACAGAGAAAGAAAGAAAAACAAGAGAAGTCTTCAGTCAACTAACACTTTACAGCACTGTTTACAGCACTGAGTTAAAACTAAGAACTCAATTCAATTTGTACAAGTTCCACAAAAACAAATGTAACAAAACTGGGTAGCAGCATAGATACTTCATAAATACCCCTGATCTGTATGCTTGATTTGAGGGCTTTAAAGTTCTATTCCCAGTTTAACAAAAAAAAAAAAAGTTTCTACAAAAACAAAAGCCTTTATAGAAGCAAACCAATCAGACTAGCATAAGTGGAAAATAGAAGTGTAATGCTTGGAAATCCACTGCAATCCCTTTCCAGTAGAAAAATTCTTCCACTGCCAGTAATGGAAAATACCACAAGAAAAGTTTTTGAGAATCAGAAAAGAGGCTGTGACAATTTAAATGAGTTTGATCTTTTTTTTGGTGAAGATTCAAAAAACTCCCCTATCTTAAAAAAAAAAATTCAGACATGCCTAAAGAAACAGTACATTTAACAACAGCATCAGCAGCACCAAAGCATATTTGTGCAATAAATACAAAAGAAGATGTCAACTATTCACAAATATGAGGAAAATGGGGGGGAACTCCCAACACCTACCAAAAAACTGTGTTTTTTTACAATTATTCAGAAATATGAAGTAAACTGAAAAAAAGCATCTCAGTGTTGGCATTTTTTTCTCAGTGATACTGAGTAAGACCTCTGATACAGGAGTGTTATCAAGGCTTTTGCATCTTTTTTTCCAGATACATTTTCCTGTAGGTCTGAAACATCTCTTTTGAGTCCTTGCTTGGAATGTGAAGAGTCTCTCCATCTCCATCCAGGATCTGCATAGCTGTATCAAGGGGAATACTGTCCTCAGCTGCAAGACAGACAAGCAGGTTAAAGCAAGAGTCGGAGCATCAAAGGACTCTACTCCTTCTGCATGTGGTACTTAGGACCCTCCAGTGTCAAAAAGGATGCCACAAACTTCCTTCCTAAAGCAGCAGGCACCTCAGATTTAAATCAATCTCCGATGTATCTTTAAGCACAAAATGGCCATTTGGGTGTCTTCGCAACTGAGATTTCTGAAGAATATTAAGAAAGGTATGACGGAAAATGTGCATCTGTGAAATTAAGAGAAGAAGTAAGAGAAAGGGCTAAAAGGATGGCAGAGACCAATAGCCAAGGACACAGGCAACAGCATTAAAAGATGCAAATGTTGCAGAATATGTTGCTTGCATCAACACCACAACACAGATATGAGCATGCAAGTCCTCTGCTGACAAGTTAAGAAGCGGATGGCAACATGGCTGCAGCATGCTGAATGCACCATTTTGTTTCCTTTCAGATGAGTAGAAAAATAAGACTATAGCTAGAAAGATACTCAAAGCAAAGAAGCAAAGACAGTTGGGAGTAACCTCACCCAAGAGGTTTGCAAACAAAGGATGGAACAAGCAAGATCCTGAGATGAAAGATGCCACTATTCTAACAGTTGCCTCCTAAAGAGTATAGAAGACCATCCGAAAAGCAATTTGCCAATCAAATGAAACACGGAAGATGTAGTAGTGGCCCCACTTTTCCTTTATGTGTCATGCAAGTAATCTTGACCAGACTACTGAGACACAGGTCCTGGAACTTGTGAGCACAGGTGTATGCATGGACAGCAACAACGTACTGTGAAAGCCAGATTAAAAAAAAAATCACTTTCTATTTTTAAAGGCTCACACTGGATTTTGCTACATCACTTCCTACATTTTAAAGTGTGAAAGAGCTAGCTTGGTCTTTACCTACAATTTAAAACTGTACTTGAATGTTGTTACCAGTGCTACACCCAAGTCAACAGCACACAGGTACGCAGGAAAATTTCAACTATCTCCGACAGTATATTCGTACAGCAGTAAAAAGCTCCACAGATCTTTGAAACTCATATGTCTACTCTACAGTATCCATTTAATCAGCAGAACTAGTAAAGAATAAGTTGGAATGCTTTATTAAGGTTTGCTACTGTAAAGGAACACTTAATACCAAGCAAAGACTATTTAGCTTGTATTTCAAACTGGATACTCAGAAGTCATTTCACCTGTAGAGATCTCTTCCAGTTTCTTTTGCTTCTGTGGTTCACATTTTAACCAGTCTTCTTTTTTACTCTTGACACCTAAAAAGAAAATTTAAAAAAAAAAAATTTGGGGCGTTCCTATATCACAAGTTTTGGTCTCTATTCAGCATCAAGTTTTAACACATATACTAGAACATGCAAAAGGAAATTCCTTTTGGGTGTGAAAATGACTGCAAGGGCTGCTATGTGCAACTTAAGATTTGGTTTTATTTAAAAATCAGATACAGAATTTGACATAAATATGCATTACAATGCATCATGTAAGATGCTGAAAGATTTGGGACAGGAAAGAAGAGGAGGGAAAAGGGCAGCTTAAAGCAATGATGGCAAAGGTTATGGGGACTTTGCGCAGGTTATGTCTCTCTCTTCCTCAGTGGCATAAAAGATCTCTCCCTCCACTGTCTGCCCATCCAGACTTATGTATATCCAGGTGAACACTGAATACAGATCAGATCACCTTTGGTAACTATGCCAAGAGAATCTACTTTCTACAAACAAGCCAAGCTGTCTTCTACAAGTAGGTAGAAGACAAGAAAGCCTTCTCACAAAACTACTCGAAACTGCCATGCTCTAAAGTACTCTAACTTCATTCTGTAAGACTCAGAGAAAATTGAAGGAAAAGTCTCATGTTCTTTTTCAGCTTAACACACAGCTATAGTCTGTCAGAGAACTAGCTATGATATCTCAGTCTTCAGCTTCTAGAGTCTCATGTTTCCACTGTCTGTAGTTTCAGACAACATGAACTGAAAAAGGAGTACATACTTCTTACTTACAAACTAATAATCAAGATAGCGTCATACCTGCTACAGCGACTTTATCTCTTTCCAGGGAATTCTTCACAGCTAAGCTTTCTTCACCAGTGGTTGGATTTCTGAACAGTATCTCTGGACACAGTTTAAATTCAAGTACTTCCTGCTTGCACGGTTTCTCGGCTGCTGAGGCAGACGCATCTTTTTTTGAATCACTGTTATGTGACACTTTGGTCTTTCTATGCCAGACGGGTCTGACAGGTGATGTCTCTAATTTTGTCAGGTATATGCGTTCCTGTGCTGTACGTTTAAACGCAACCCTGTTCAGGTAGTGTTTTTTTGGTTCCTTTTGAAGATGCAACTTCAGTCTGTTATTTCTTCTATTTATGTATAGCATGTTTTTATCAGGAAACATTTTCTCAGAGCACTTGTCTTTGTTTTGACCATCGAGACGTCTTTCTTTGTTAGAAAAGTAGTTTTTAGACATGGGAGAAGATAGAGCCCTTTTTCTCTGTAGTTTAAGCACAGAGTGATCTGCTAAAGAACTCTTTGGTTTCCAGACATTTTCTCCATTCAGTCTTTTAGCTCTGTCAGAATTTATCATGCAATTATGTGCAACTTGCTTAAAATTCTTTGCTTCAGATTGTTTCAGTCTTTCATCTTCCACCTTTGATTTCTTAAGTTCTCTCTTCCCCATCAGGTTTTCCTTCATCTTCCGTTTGTATGGCTGCTCCTGCGAAGGATGAACTTTCACAGATTTATGCGGAGAGTATTTTGTGTTTTTTGACTTAAAGTCTACAGCGCCAAAATTTGAGAACCTTACAGCATCAGATCGGTAACTTTTCAGCTTTTTATGTTTTATTTCTGCTGGCAGTTTATCTTTCTCTTTGACATTAATCCTTACATCTTGCCCAAGCATCTCCTTTTCTTTACTACAGTTCTGTCCTTCAGCTGAGTTCTCTCCACAAGTTTTAATATTTTGCCTTTGATTGACTTCAGAGTGCTTAATTTCTACAGTTTCTGATTTCATAAATTTGTGAATGTGCGTTTTGGATTTCACGGTCAAAGCTGGTTTGGTTTTATCTCTTGGAAATAACTCAGTTTTGAAAACTCTCTCCTTCTTTCCAGATGACTTTGTCATGTTGTCTGCATGTGTGTGACCAGCTTTCTCCAGCAATTCTTCTGAAACTGTCTGATGTTCTTTTTTGTCAGAATGAAATTCTTTGCTTGGCAGTGGGGTTCCTTTGTCAGTTTGCAGCCTTTCCTTCTGGCTGCTGCATTTATACTTATCAGCATCTTGGTTTTCAAAACAATTAAGTGTTCCAATATTTTCCTGTTTTATTGTAGGCAGTATGTGTTCATTATTGATGTTCAGACTGGGTTTTTTGTTCATTGCAGAGGTGTATATGCAAATATCTTCTTTATTTTTGCTAATACTGGTTGGGATTTCTCCAGAAATTGTCTGGGTTCCCACTGCACAGTGTTTTTTTGTTGGGGCATCAGATTTACTATTGTTTTCTTGTCTCTCTGCAGAGCTACTATTTTCAACTTTTGGAAGTTGATAATCATTTTTCTCTGAACCAGATGTTCCTGATTTACCGGGACAATGTGGCATTTTACATCCTACAGATACACCACCTGTTAATGAACAATCTTCATTTTTTTCACTGGCGTTGGAATTTTCTTGTTTTTTTTTTTCCTTCTTACACAGACTCTGACTAGGCAGAACACTCCCTTCAGGGTTCTCCTCAGCTGAAGCCTTTTCTGACTGTTGACTCACTGCTCTCTTGTTGTCACTAGAGGGACACTGTTTGTGTTCAGGAAACAGTTCTTGAACCTGATCAGAGCTTAACACTGCAATTTTAATCTGATTTACTGGGTCCTTCAAATTGGAATTCTTGTCACAAATTTTAATCTTTTTTTGAGGTTGATTCTCCATCCCTTCAGCCACAGAATGACTTTGTGCTGGTTCTTTTCTTAGCATATCAGCACTTTCAAGGCCATATGGAAACTCTTTCACTAGTTCAGACAGCTGATTTTTTAGGTATTTACAAGGTTTTCCTCCAAAAGAGTTTATTTCTTCCTCTGTGCTATTTTTAGTGGGAATGGAATTTTGTTTACTGTGGTCACCTGGAACAGTGGATGCATTTGTTTCAGCAGTTATGCTGATAGAAGAACCTAGTGAACGTTGAGTTAACTTCTGGTTTACATTAGCAAGATTTTTTAAGCAATTTTCAGGATGCTTGAAAGATGCCTCGGATGACACGTTTTGTTCTGAGGTAGAAACTACCTTAAGAGGATTGCCACTGCTTTCTTTGTCTAAATGACTCATTGTGCTACCATGCAGAATCTTATCTGCTTTACTCATGCAGTTTGATGATTCTCCCAACATCTTTAGCAGCAAGCTCTCTTTCTGGGGAGTGTTATTGCTCAGCCCATTTTTATGCAAGTCCGGACGTTGTTCCTTTTCCCTTGCATCAGATCCATTTCCTTCTGATGCATGTGTCTCATACACCGACCTGAAGATGCCTGCTATTTGTGGATTATAAAATTTATCACCTTCTACAAGAGAACATACACTAGAAATACGAAACATCTGATCTTCCAACACAGCTGTGGATGTATCCCCTGTCTCTAACATAGTTTGCTTGTCTTTATGATATCCTACATCTTCTTGGGAGATTTGACTAGAAACATTTATGCCCGTTTCAGGAAGAGAAATCTTGTTTTGTAATCCAAGTTGCAGATTTTCTCTGGTATCTTGTGCAGATTGACTAACCTTCCTTTGGTTTTCATAATATGAATCATTTCCATTCACGCTGGTTTTTACTCTTCTGTTTTCATCACCTAATTCAATCTGTTGCAAATGCGAGTCCACTTGCTGTTCAAGAACACAATCACTGGGTGATGACCAAGCATTTTCTATTGCTCCTTTGTCAGTATTTGCCACATTTAAACCATTTTCCCCCGCTTCTTGCAAGCTACATGTGCTCTCCAAATCAATCACTGGATAGGTTTTATCTTCAGATGTTGGGATTTTGTCTGCTTGCTCACTCTGTGTTCTCTGTTCAGAAAGTACTAAAGGAGAGACAACTGCAACCTGAGGTTCAAAATTTTTTATCAAACTGGAAGTCAGTGTATCAAGTTTTTGTCCCACAGAGGTAGTTGTTATAGGCAACACTGCTTCATCCATACTAACCAGAACATTATTTTGTTCTCCATTTTTTGTGTTTTGGTTGGGGGGTGAAATCTGATTTGCTGTGGGGCTGTCACTTGACTGGTTTTTTTGCACATTTACAGATTCTGATGAATGCTTCCGCCACAAGCTCAGGCATGCAGTTAGCTCTTCCATAGAGTAAGTACAATTGATCTGATTACAGGATGTATTTTCAGTAAACGGCATTTTTTTCTGAGCTACCTCATTCTGGAATTTAGCTTCACCAGATTTAGTTGTTTCCGATACAGGAGAGTTTGTGTGAACCACAGATGCCTGCTCACCTTTCAATCTTTCTACGTTCCTCTCACTAGTGTCTTTTTGCAAGCTTCCACCTGAGACAGATGTATGTACCATTTGTTTGTCATTACACAGGAGACTAGTCAGTATTTTATCAGCAGTAGCACCAGCTGTCTTCTCTTTCAATGCATTTGTGCTACTTAATACAAACTGAAGAAACGATGAGTTCTCGGGGTTAATTTGCACGCTCTTTGATGCAATTTTGACAGAGCTACCTGCTTGACTAAAACAAGAAGCATTGTTCAAGGAAATTGCAGTTTCTTGAGAAGAGGCCAAGGCATGCACATCCTGTTGTTCCACCGTGGGAGTGCTCTCAGGATTATTTAACTGAGCTGGGAGTTGGCTCTGAGAGGGAATAGGAGCTAAGCTTGAAGGAAGGCTTCCCTGCGCCACCTGCGGGTTACTTTGAGTCCCCTCTAATCTTCTGTTATCAGCATTGGCTAGATTTTTGTCCTTTCTTTCTTCATGTGAAATCCTAAGTGTTTGACTTTCTGTCATCATTGTTTGAGTTGAGGAAGGTGGTACATTTTGTTTGGGCACCCATGGAAGACAATTAGCAGGAGTACACTGATAACCGTAGGGAGGAGGGGCAGTGCTTTTGTAATGCTTTGAAGCTGCTAAGAATTTTCTTTTAAAAAGTCTTGCAAGTAGGGCCCATTTTTTAATATTGTACAGCCTCTCAGCATCCAAAGCTGGTCTGTCCTTTACAATTTTTCTTTCATCTGCTGATGATGAATAAAGTTGAGAATTAACAGGTCCATTCATTAAACTACTGGTCTGGCTTTCTTGAACTGAAGGAGGATCACTCAGTGGCTTTGAAGAAAGAGCTTCTATTTCTTTCACAATATCGAAGAGGTCTTCAGAAATGCCAGGGGATGGCACAGTCATTTCATTAAAAGAACCATTTGCTGTCACACTTCCATTTGAACTACAGAAACTCTTAACTGATTGACTGACTTCTCCACATTGCTGCTTCTGACAGTGTTGCTGAATGCTGTTAAAACCAGAAGAATTTTTTTGATCCAGTGGGCTCCTCTGTTGGCTAAGGGTGTATCCATTAGGCATGTTTTGTACTTCCTGTGGTACACCTATTGAAGATTGTGCAGCAGCTCCTGAAACACAGTTGGCAGGCAAAAAAGATGGTGCAGAACATCCTCTAGGAGCTTGTGATTCCATCTGACTTGGTTGAAATTGTGGGAGCTGTACATTTGTTTCAGTATTTTGATTGACTGAGTATGAACCTTTGTACTGAGTATTGGACTGATACATATGGTTTTGTACTTGTTGCCCAGATGTACCAAAAGACACAGAATTATTCTGGGAATGAGTGCTACTTTGATATAAGGCTGCAAATCTCACAGAATTTTGCTGCAGTATTTGCGGCTGCGCAGTGTAAGTGTTTGTAGCAGCATACTGAGGTCCCTGATGTACGCTCCTCACACTACTTCCAGCATTCATTTGAGAAGACAGGGGAGGCACATTTCTACAGGAATAACTGTAGGCATTAGAGACTGGCCAAGAAGTCTGAATCATCTCTGCCTGAGAAGGTGACTGCTGAATGGGAGGTTTCTGAGCTGGTACATACATCTGTGGATGTTGTTTCACTGAGTATTTTGACATAAAAAAATTATTACCAGTCACAGATGCTCCTGGTAAGGTCTGATCAGAAGTTTTGAATCCTTCAGCATTCACAAGAGGAAAGGTAACCTTGACAGTTGGCAGATACAGAAACTGGTTACTTTCAGCATAAGTACATGCATTTGTAGAGGAGCTGGCATTTGTCTGAGGAAAGGCATGTCCATTAGAAAGCAACTGAGTGTGATATGCTCCTTCACTTTGAAGGTTCATATTTGCATTAGCATTCTGGACTGGTCCTCCATTCCAGTCCATCTTCTCTTGATTTCTTTTTCTTCAGGTAAAACCAAATGCTAAAAAAAATGCTTAAAAATATTACAATCTTAATCTTTTGATCAAAACCTATTTCACTTTCTAAGAAGTGATTCAGAATGCATTATGAACTGTTGAACTTAAATTGCTAGGTAGGAGAGCAACCCAAGTGGCTCATTGACATCATCCCACATTGACATCAATGCTGTCAATGTCCAAGTTGCATAAATTATTTCCCAGAATGCTGTTAAGGTACAAAAAGAGCAGCAACTAACAATCCTATAGACTGTCTAATGACTAACAAAATCCTCACAATATCTTGCTAATTCTATTATCGTTCAATTTTTTAATTTAACAATGGATGGCTATATTTACCTTCTCATCCAAAAACAACGGAAAAAACCCCAAGGTATTTGTACAACAGGGCACAATGAGCAACGCTTAAGAGCTGAGCATGAGAAGCACCAGAAGAAAAAAAGACAGGCCAGAGTTTTCAGATGGGAAGACCTGATTTCAGTTATACCTTCAAATGCAACAAAAAAAATGAAAAAATGAACTTGGGTTTAGTAAAAACGTCTCACAACAATGTGGCCCACTAGTTTTCTTTTTATTTTGAGGAATATAACTCTGCCTCTAGTGAGCTGTAAGGAAAGCTCTCATAATTCTAATGCTGTAGCATTAACTTACACAGCTAGGAGAAGGCATGAAGCATGGAGATGACATCATCACTTCTACTATTGCAGTACACACACCTTCAGGAGGTGACAAAGTGAAGTACTGAGGCCTGAACAACAGGCCCTGAGCCAAAGTTGACCTCTAGATGAACCTTCCAACCTAACATTATACTTATCTGTGCATCTACTCATTGGCTAAAACTGCATATAATTGTTAGTGAAATACATAGTATGATAAGACTACACCTGTGTATCTGCTCATTAACAAAATATGTGTGCTTATTAGTAAGATATATTAGTATCTACTCATTAGTAATATTTGTATCTGTTCATTAATGAAGTATGTATGATTGTTAGCAAAATATGACATTTCTCTTTCCGTATTCAGAGACTGGTCAAGGTCATGGAAGCAGATGTCTGGCCTTGTTTAGCAGTAGATGGTCAAGGTTGACTCCCCTGGTTTTCCCCTTGAGCCCTGGGCCAGGCTTGGGGCGGAATCCAGGAGGAGAAGGAAAACAGATGTTTTTCCACACTAGTAGTTATGTAAGCTTGTTTATTCAACAGTATAAAAGCTGGACCCTCTCACAGCGAAGATGGAGACCTCATCTACGAGCAGACACACTGCGTAGGATTTCCCAGTTACCGGGAATGGTTCTTTAATCCCTTGCTGGGCTCCCCAGCTGACGTGCGGATCTGGACGGTGGTAACGTATTAGGGTAACTGGTGATGTATCTTTCTTAATCGCTATAGGCACTCTTTGTAATAATGATTAGGTGCATTATTGGCCTTATCCTTTTGTAATTCTTTGCTGGTTTGCACTACAATAAAATTACACAGTTGTTCCTCAGAGTTGGTGTCTGTGTGTCTTGTGCTGACCCTCGTTCTCGTTTGGCAAAACGTCACATATCTCTCTGTCTCCATGTGTTATATTCCAGAATGTACATGTATTACCAACAAGCCCAACTGGGTGAGCATGTTACGCTGTAAAGTTGTTAGAGACAATGGCTTCAAAGCCAAACTTTATTTCAGTCTTCAAAATGACAATCTACAAGCATGAATGCAGCCTGCATCTCAACAAGTTCCTCTCAGTATGGTCAAATCCAGCTAGGACATTAATAAACACCTCACTTTGTGCAGGGTATTAGACAGTTTCTCAACAAAATGTTTCATGCCACTTCTCCCAAATCACCCAAGGCTCCTGACTTTCCTTCACGGCCTCTTTTAGATTTTAACACTCTTCCGATTTCAAGCTTGGGAATCATAAGTTTCACTCATATCTAGCCTATAAAAAATAAGACTCGGTGTTACAATTTTCCAGGTGTTATTTTCAAGATTCAAAGATAGGTCTATCTTTCTTCACTCTACCTTTTACCTCCTCTGCTCTCATAGGACACCAATAACAAAAGAAAACCAGAAAACAAGGTTGCATATGAAATCAGAAAAAAAAAGCACAGCAGTGTTAAGGCGATACTTACAGTGATACAGGAATCTTAGATGAGACAACGGGCTTCTGCATCCAACGTAAAGATTTCAGACTGCTGCTGTTACACTGGGTATTTCCTGAAAAATGATCAGAGAATAAAACAACCATGTCCTTGAATTAGATAACTGTTGAAGAAATTTAAGACATTTACATTTTCTAGAAACCTGACTAATGGAGGCAAACAAGACTAGGATGACAACGAGTATTAACTGTAAAATCCTTGCTAGAGGAGGAACTTTGACTACATGCAACACACAACTTCACCAAGAGTAAAATCCAATTATTGTCACTATCAAAACAATAAAAATGACTACAACCTCGGTTTGTCAATCATCATTATTAGCTGGATTACGAAAATTAAGTTTCCAATTCTCATCGCAACCCTAAAAATTCTCTAATAAAGCTTAAAAATTCTTTAATAAAGCTTAAAAAAGCTTAATACAATGAAACATGCTACTTTAAAAAGCGATATTTGGCAGAGAGCGCTTGTCTTAGGAAGAACATTTGAGAAGTTCAGTGTCAGCACGAGACTTGGAAAGATAACAAGAAGACTACTGCTCACACATGCCTGCTTCACTCATTCAGCACATAAAAAGTAATGAAGACATCCCCACTGAATGTAGAGGTAACACCACAGCTCTTTAAAAAATCTACCTGACTAAACTGCTTACCCCCCTAGACTTCTCCATCAGATAGTTTTAGGCACATCTCTGGTCTGTGTCTTATTTAATGTCCCTAAATCTCTCTGTGGAGACACCACACAGAGATTTGAGGGGAATTCGGGCCACCTATATAAAAAACAGCAAGTCCAACAATTACGGCTGTTCATTCCAGGGAAGAAGGAATAATACACCTGTTCAAATCTGCTTAGGTATGGAGAGGTGAAGTTTCCCTTGATCCTGTGGAAAGGAATTAATTTTGAGCATACCTGAAAGCGAGATTAAGACACAAACAAGGCCAGATGTTGGATTCCAAAATAAGTCAACTTTATTTTCTAAAACAAAAGGAGAGGAGAGGAAGGAAAGAAAGACAACATGAATGTAGGAAAAGCCAAGAGAAATTACTAGAAGCACAGAAAAGGGGTTACCAGCACCATGGGCTCAGCACTGGCTTGTAGATTTAGTCCTCCATAGTGGTAAAATCTCCCTCTGGGGAGGGCAAGGAAGACAAACCCGTCGACCTGTCCCTACCATTTTTGTGTTGAATTCTCATCTCCCAGTCAGATACAAAATCAGGGTCCTTTTATACCTTATCAACCATTATTGTGCAAAGTGCTATCAGTGGGACTGTAATCGAACCTTCTGTTCTTTGTGGTCATGTTGTATGGAATATTTCTTGGTAGGAGGTTTACTTGGTAGCAGTTGTATAAAACACTTCCTGGTATCAAGCCAAAGAATGAGACCACACAGCTTGTACCCCACTTCACATTCCTCCCCGACGCCATGGCAACACAACCTGACCTCCATCTGGCTTCCATAATCATCATGGGCCCCATCACATAATGAGCTTTGCATTTTCTTCACTGTTTTATGCTTCCAACACTTCTCACAAACCCCTTTCTAGGACTGTGTATAGAGATTCCTCCCTTGGGGACACCTCCAAGGTTACTCCTCAAGGCTAAACAAAAGAGTTATGCCCACAGGCATTGGTATGAGTGAGCAATATCAACCTCTGCTCAATCATTTTGCTAGCTTTAATATTGTTGCTTCAATATATAATGCACTGTAATTACAGTTAGCTATCTAGACTGTGTAGTAGCTAATTCTGATTAAGTCCTTTAACCAGTATTATCATCAATATCATCAGTATTATCACCTATTCAATCTGCTTAGATGTAGAGAAGCAAGGTTTGCCTTGGTCCACAAATGTGGAGAGGAACTAGGTTCTAAACATTCCCACAAGTGAGATTAAGGTACAAACAAGGCCAAATATTGGATTGAAAAACAATAATTCAACTTTATTTTCTAACACAAAAAGAGGAAAAGAAGGAAAACAGAAAATTAGGAAAAAGCCAAGAGCAACTTCTAGAAGCACAGAAAAGGAGTTACCACCACCATGGGCTCTGTGCTGGCTTGCAGGGTCAGTCCTCGGTCTCTTCTCGGTCGTCTTCTTTGGTCTTCTTTTGTGATTTCTTGTCCTGTAGTCTTCAACAGCAAGCAAACCAGAAGGCAAAGAGGCAGCAGCTCCCACAGCAGTAGCCCTCCGTGCCACATTAGGTACTGCCTAAGTGTCCTCATATCTTGCACGAAACTCAATAGAAACATGTAACAGTATTTTAATTAAAGAGCAGGTAGCCTCTGAATGCCCACTGGCTGGTTTCCCAATATATGCCTCATTTGGGAGGGTGAGTCCTTGCCATGTAGCATTTCTCGGACTGCACTGGACGCTTTTTATTTAAGGCAACTTGTTTGTAACAATTTTTTATTAACGGTTTGAATTTCTCGATAAAAATACCTAATTTTTAGCTGTGTCAATTAAAACAACTACTTTTTGATTACAGCAACCTGCCTCCAGTAGGTTTTGAACTAAAGCAACTTCCCTCCTCTAGCTTGCTTCTGGCAGTTTTTAAAGTAGTTCGCCTTTTTGCAGTCTTTAATTAAGGCAGCTCAGCTTTTGCAGTTTTTCAGTAAAGGCTTTTTGGTTTCATGCCTGAGGCAATGACAAAACACTTCTAACCTTTTATCAGTTCTTTACATCACGATAAAAAAAAAAAAAAACAATTTTTCCATATTGGTTTGCCCTCCCTCAGCCTGTGGGATGAAGTTGTATAAAGTTTCAATTACACTGCATAATTTTTTAGATATAAACCTTTGACTAAGTCTGGGGCTAGAACTAGATCCAGCCACACCCAGACTCCTTTCTGAGAAGGAATTTAGAAATGAAGGGGGCCTTTTCTGCACCCTGTGACTCAATAGGAGGATCAACGTGATAAAGCTTCCACTCTGCCCATGACAGCTACCAAGGCATAAATTCTGCCTCCTCCCTACCTCATACTGCAGTTTTAAGAGGTGCCAAAGTAATCAATGCCAATTACCTTTCCTCTTATCTATGCATAGCTGGTTTGGACATTGAAGACATTCTTCCAGTGTCCCACCCACTAGGACTACCACGATCACTTTGCTTGTACTTGGAATGGCATTCCTTATACCTCTACCCATGTACCTCAAGGCTGTGGCTACAGTCCTACCATCGATGCTTAGATAACATGAGCAATATTAGCTGAAATTTCTCCCACTCCTCACAACAGCATATTGATGACTTTCGCAGCAGACACAGATAGGAATCTTGCACAAGATATGATCCCAAATTTCAGCCCTCAAAGAACATCAGGAACTTTATATTCTTTCTGGTGAATGCCAGGGTCCTGCCCAGAAAGTAAGGTGTTTGGGTTATTGTTAAAGGAGTCTTATTGCATGCCAGTACCAAAAGTATTTCTGAAAGTGTCTGTCAGTCTGTTTCCTTTACCCAACCTACTTCCTCCTCCAAATGGAAATATCAAGTCTACCAGGCTCTTTAATTGTCATAAGGCTTGGGTTTTAGTCAGATGGCCACCCTCTCTATTTCTTGCTGTGCACACTTTCCATCTAGAATTGGAATACGAGTCACCAACACATCCAACCCTTCTCCTAAAAATATTCAACAATATCAGTACTTGGGACCCTCACTCCTACTCATGGACCAGAGCACAGGGTCCAGCAGAGTGAAAGCTGCTTCGTGGTGACCATTCCAGGAAACATGTCACAAGGATTCTACCCCATTTGGGGAGGGAGTTGGGACAATCTCTTTTGGCAGCAAAGGGTGGCAAGACTCACTTATTACAGAAGCCTCTCCCTGCAATGCCCAACAGAAGGATGTGTGATTTACAGAAGCCTCCACAATCCGTCGCCATAATGCCTGGTTTGGACATGCCACTGCTGTTCATCCTGCAGATGACCAGGCTGTTACACCCCACTGCCCATGATAGTGCTCAGATGGCTGAACTTCTGGCCCTTTGTACAGTCATCCACTCCTCTGATGACCAGGTATACATCAACTCCTGGGCTGTTTTTGCAGGGTGCACCACTGAAAGCACAGTCCTTCACATCCACACTGGGAAAATTTGTGGTTGAAGTCTTTGTGAAGAAATATAGACTATGCCCATTCATGTACTTTGGCTGTCAGCCAGATTCATTCCTATTCTTCTTGTCCCATGGCCAAGGCCATACAGAACGCCAAAGTAGATGTCACTCGAAGCCAGGTAAAACCTGGAAAGCCAATATAGTATAGCAATGCAAGAATTAGAGAGTTAAACTCAAAATGCAGGCTTTAAGCAAAAGCATAGAGAACTTAGTATTAAGAAACAGCGGAGGTAATAAATTCACTAGAATACAGGACGCTCTGACATGAAGGAACATAAGTATGAGCACACAGGAGAACAGAAAGAACTAAAAATGCTAGTGTACACAGAAAAGGACATATAGAAGAGAAACAAAGGGAGATAAGGGATGAGCCAAGAAATCAAGTACTCTTGCCAGACACTGGAAATCCCTGCCAAATGCACAAGGAAACTATCCAAATTAGGGAAGATTCAAAAGTTTATGAAGATGATGATGAAAGGACACTGAATTCATGAAGCTGAAGAACAGGAACGACCCCTCAAAATCTCCCCAAATTGAAGACCACGCCTCTAACTCCGCCTCAACTCCGCCTGATATGAATATTAAAAGTAGATGTTGCAAAATTATTAATATTCATATTGTATGATGCAATTGCTTGCCAAAAATTGTATAAAAAGTCTGACTGTGAGATGCTGGATTGAAGCGGTTTGTCCAGGGCGACCTGGTCGCTTCCTGGCGCCGTGACTAAACATACCTCCTGCTTAAAGGCTACAAACTTTGTCTCTAAGCAGTTTTTCCGTTCGTGCCTTTTTGGGGGCAAAATTTTGGCATCACACTGCTGTGATCAGAGTGGTGGCAAACATTGACACCTATAAATTAAGTCAACTGCAGTCCAAGAGTAGCAGATTAAAGTAAAGAAAACTTTAGCCCAAGCCTTAAATTTACACAGTGACTACCCAGTGCAAATCTTCACTTTCCCT